GGTAGGTGTACTGTTGCTTGTCATATTGTGTCCCGTGTGTTGGATATGGCAGGGACCCGTCGAAGAAGCCGAGAATCTGCGCACCCTCCATCATCAGCTCGAATTCGAATGACCAGGTGAAGAAGTCCTTTCCGTCGAACGGTCTTGACGTCTGCAGTTTTAAGACGTGCGCAAACTGCGACTGAACTTGAAGTGCGTCCAGTGTCTTCTCTTGTCCAGGTGCAGGCTGTGGTTGTGGCATAAAGCTGACGGAGCCACGCTGAGGTTCATACGGGGCGAAGGTAGGTTGCTGCTGGTTTCCGCGCGCATAGGATGAACCATCAAGGCTCATGGGCGTGACGTCGTTGTTGTTGTTGCTAATGTTTGACTGCGCAGGTGCCGTTTGTTGATGTTGCTCGTAGAAGGACATGAAGGAGAAGAACTTCTCCATCATGCTTGGGTCGAAGCCTGCAGGTTGATTTGCAGGAGTCTCAGTAGTCGTTGCTCTTGGTCTTGTTGCCGTACCCTCCTCTGTCTGTAGGCCAGAGGCGGGAGGTGGAGTAGGAATAGTACCCGGGGAGCCGTTAGAGGAGCTCCTTTCCTTTTGTGTTGCCATGCCTTCTGACGTTGTGGATAACTTGATGGTAGTTGAGTTCGCCCTGTTTGCTCTCATACCATGTTGGGCTGAGAAAAAGCCCTTAGGATCTTTGCAGGACTAAACTCTGAGTAGGATTGATGTAATAGCGGAAGCGTTTAACGATAAGTCTGTGAACCACCTTGCGCTAGTATGTGAGGGCAAAGTAGATTGATTAAAGCAAAGAGATACAAGATTATATAAGAGTACAAGGAATACGAAGGGATACGGTTGCAACTACTTTACTGTTGCTGTTGCGGTTCGATACAGTGACGACTCGGGCAACTGCTCAGTATCGAGTCAGTTGTTTGTCCTTGCTGTCGCGCTGCATTTGTCAAGTCAAAGGTCGCTGGCCTTTGACCTTCGCGTAACCTCCGGCGGTTACTTCTCTTGTCAACCTCCGATGGTTGACTCGCCGTTGTTCCTCTGTAGTTCGCCTCGTTTGTAGTTCGGTGTTACGACACATAAGAAGCGTTTAATTAATTGTTTCCAACACAGAGCAGAGGCGTGTGCATATGAGAAAAGAAGCCGCTTACCGGAGCTCTTTCCCTTTGCAGTGAGCGAGAGCCCCTAGCCCCTAAACCCTAAAGCGCATACCCCCACTGTCACCTGGTATCTACTTGCCTTGATCACCTAACTTGTTTAGGTGAATTCTTGCCTAACAACTCAAGCAATTGATGGTGGGAGGGGAGAGCAAGCTTTAGAAGATGTGCACTGATGGATGGAGTCTTGGTACCATTCCTTGCTCGATGATCTAATACCTAGAAATAAGCTCTATATTGAAGGTAATACACAGAACTGATTGCTATACATAGTACCTTGCATCACAACGCATATACCTGATTCTCAGTTGACCTCCTGTCATCCCTGGTTCAGAGGTTGAACCAGCAGCATGTCTCACTGTCAACTGAGGACCGAGCCACGTTCGTGTAACCTGAAGAATTACACCTTGGTGTAAGTGGGAATCAGGACTTTGTCCACGCCGTGGGCGATAAAGTACGGCCCAGCGTACAGCCTCACGAGCTTGATCGTCGTCCAGGCGGCAGGGGGGGCGTTCGGGGTCTTGGCGAAGGAAATGGTGTTACCATTCTGCACCGAAACCTTGTACATCGCCTGGTTCAGCTGCGTCCCCAGCGGCTGCGATTTCTTGAGCGCCGTGAGCGCGGGAACGGTGTACTTCTTGCGGATGATGTGGTACGCGGTGATGTTGTAGATTTTGGGGATGTTTGCGTTGTTCGCGGGAACCTTCTAAGCGAGGGCCTGAGCCTCCGTGTCGCTGGGGAGTAGGAGGGTGGCGTCGCTGAGAGCTGTGAAATCGTACTTGGAGTTCACTGGAGGTGGAAAGAGAGGGGTGGGGGACAGAGGGAGAGGGAGAGGGAAGACAGAATCTGAGCGCTAATCCGAATACTATCAATAGGGGATAGTAAGGGGAGTATAACTGACGGGTGGCGAGATGTGCGGATCTTTTCCAGCTACAAGCGAAGAGAGGAGCGCAATATTTAGTATGCTGTCGCGCTTCCAAATGCGGGACTTTTGTTCGCGGCGTTGTGAACGAGAATGGGGCGAGGCGAACCGTGGTAACGAGGAAAAATATTTATGTCACGTGGAGTCCTTACGTGCTAGGCCGATGTACTTGTTAAAACCCCCGTCTCATAATTTCTACCATATTACACTTGGTTGGGAGGGGAGGCCGTAGATTGGTCCACGAGCAGCGAAATTCTGCACGACAGGAGGGGTCATTTGGGCGAAACATGCACACTGTACAAACAAAACCAAACCTACCGCCCGAACCTGTTGCCCCACCCACACTTTTACAAACAGGCTCGTCAGCGAAAACAACACTGTGCGACAAACCCAGGCGACAAACACAACCTCCCCGCACATCGTCCTCCACACCAGCGAGGACGCCGTTTATTACTTGTGATTACTAAGCTTACACCCGTCACACCTCCCCATTAGTATGTTCAATACTTGTCACACCCGCCTCGTACCCCGCCACTATCGTCATTAGGGCATCACACCGTGAATACAGTTCTACGTTTCGTGAACAGCTAAACGGAAACCTAGCTACATATTAGCAATGTCGTCACAAGAGGGTACTGGGCACGCGATGAATTCCTCCGAATGCGAGGCGGATCGATGCGCCGTCGACACCGCGCGTGAGTACAACAACGCGCGCGAATTGCTGTCGCGTATCACACCCGCCTCCCCCAAACGTTTCCAGCGCTTCAGTCTCCACGGTATCGCACCCCCTTCCCCACTGTCGCCATCACCGTTCTCCCTCGGGCATGCTAGCCTATTCCCCACGTTCGCCCTACGCGCTTCCCCACAGTCTCAACTCCCATTTCCCCACGGATGCGGGGTTCGCCCTCCCCGTCGCTGTCTCTCCCCTTCCTCTTCGCTAGCGTCCCCGTTTTCCCCCATGCGCGCCCGCCCCCTCCTTCACGCGATCACTCCCTGCAGCGTCGCCCGTGGTCCCCAACCCCGTCACTATCTCTCCCCTTTCCCCACGCTAGCACTCCCCTATACTGTCGAGTTCACTCCCCCTTACCTCCCCATCACTCCCCTTCCACGTCGAGCTCACTCCCTTTCCAAGGGCTATCAGTCCCCTTCCCCACCGATAACTCCCCCTTCCCCCACCGCAAGCACTCCACTCTCTCGTCGCGATCACTCCCTCCCTGTCCCTATCACTCCCCTCCCCACTGTTGTTCCCACTCCCCATGCAGACCTTATTGGCTCCACGCACCTGAGACGTCACAATGAAAAACACGATACTTGCACATGGTGAGTTAGTAGACTATTCCCCCCTGCTAGCAAACTATCACCTATACCGCACTAGTTCCCTCTATTTCCCCCCACTAGCAACTCACACACTCACGACTAGTTCCCTCTACTCCCATATGCTAGCAACCTCTCACTCTCACCGCATCATTTCCCTTTATTCCCCCCTCCCCGCAACATCTCACCCCAACCTATCTCAACTCCACTCTATTCCCTCCATCAAACAAAGAAAACCGCCCGCATTCATTTTGGAGGCCTGTGCCATGGCTCCGTTAACGAGCGGGGATTCAAAGATAGACGACCCCTTGGCATCTTCACAGTTACCACCCGGTTACCATGTAGATGACCTCTTGACTTCCACCACACTGCACCTTACCGAACAAGCTCCCACATGGTTACCAGGTTCACGACATCCAAAGGCAACGTATGTACATCTCGGTCACCCTCGTGAGTCTTGAGTCCTCACCCAGGTTACGTGGTTACCACGTGTTTACCAGCTTGCCACCGCACAGCACACCAAAGACCCATAACCAACTTACAGCTCGGTCTGCCTCTTGACTTTAGAGATAGAGCTTGGCAGGATCGAGCTGAGCAAGTTGTATTCGAGATTGCTGTTGCAACAGGAGCAAGCATGGTTTGGGAGGGTGAAGAGGGAAGGTGAGCGTGTGGGAGGGCGGAAAATCTGAAGGCCCCCCATCATTGTGGACCGGTTATCCAGGGAATTAGTGGTTGTTGCTTTGTGATAATAATCGAGACTCGACACATTGCCTTATCTCCATGCCCATCTGTCAATGTGATAGCGAGAAGTAAATATTCGTTCACACTAAATATCAAATACATACACTGAGAAGGATGACTAGGAACGCACTGGTGCTCACACCAGTAAGCGATTGGGATGGTATTTCACATAAGAACATCTAGTGCGTACCCAAAACAGCCAGTTACAGTATGAGACTTCTAACAGCACACGTGAGTCTGATACGGCCAGGGTGAGTTGGCAGGTTGAGATGTGTGCGACACCCATAATACAATCACATGTGATACAGTCACGTACGCAACAGTCACGTGCACACGTTAGTTCATCTATGGCCTGGCCTTACTATAGGGTCGATCCAAAAGTCTTTCACAGTTCACTCAAGAGTGACAACATTCGACTCATAAGTCACACCTAGCGTGTGACCTCACATCTCAAATCAAAACAGGTTGTACAGTCATCTGGCTAAGCCGTGGGATCGCTGTTAGGAGGGGGACAGAGAGCGGCAGGGGGGTGATGTGGGTGAGGGGAACGGATAGCAGGTTGCCGGCATCATAGACTGCGGGCGTGGGGAGAGAGGGGGGCGAGGGGCGAGAAGGGAGTGTCGCGTTTCGATCTTTGGTCGCCTCAAAGGCATGGCAGTTCAGGAGTACAGCAAGGCATCGACCTTGTTGTGAGATCGATCACTGCGGGCGTGAGGAGAGGGAGAGGAGTGGGGGGAATAGGGGATGGAGAAAGGGCGAGTGATGAGCTATGAGGCGCCCAAAAAGGTTTTGTGAGGGGGGAGAGGGATGGGGGGGTTCTGGTTGCCATTGATAGCGCTGCGGGCGTGGGGAGAGAGATAGAGAGAAGATGGGCAAAGGGTGGGGTGGGGAGATGAGGGATGGGGAGAATGGGGACGGGGAGATGAGGGATGGGGAGGAGAGGGATTGGGAGGTGAGGGTTAAGGAGATGAAAAATGGGGAGGGGGGGCATGGGGAGAAGAGGGATGGTAAGATGAGGGATGGGGACATGAGGGACGGGGAGAAGAGGGATGGGGAGATGTGGGATGGGGAGATGAGGGATCGGGGGATGAGGGATGGGGAGATGAGGGATGGGGGGACGAGGCATGGGGAGATGAGGGATGGGGAGATGAGGGATTGGGAGAAGCGGGATGGGGAGGTGAGGCATGGGGAGGTGAGGGATGGGGCGGAGAGGGATTGGGAGGTGAGGGATAAGGAGAGGAGGGATGGGGAGAAGAGGGATGGGGAGAATGGGGATGGGTAGAGGAGGGATGGGGTGTAGAGGGATTGGGAGGTGAGGGTTAAGGAGATGAAAAATGGGGAGGGGAGGCACGGGGAGAAGAGGGATGGTAAGATGAGGGATGGGGACATGAGGGACGGGGAGAAGAGGGATGGGGAGATGTGGGATGGGGCGGAGAGGGATGGGGGGACGAGGCATGGGGAGATGAGGGATGGGGAGGTGAGGCATGGGGAGGTGAGGGATTGGGAGGTGAGGGATAAGGAGAGGAGGGATGGGGAGGTGAGGCGTGGGGAGGTGAGGGATGGGGAGGTGAGGGATGGTAAGGTGAGGGATGGGGATGCGAGGCATGGGGAGATGAGGGATGGGGGGACGAGGCATGGGGAGGTGAGGGATGGGGAGAAGAGGGATGGGGAGGTGAAGGATGGGGATAAGAGGGATGAGGAGGAGAGGGATGGGTGTACACGACGGAAGGGGAGTTAGCGTGGGCGACGGGAGGGGAGTTCGCGTGGGCGACGGAAGGGGAAACGCGCATGGGCGACGGAAGGGGGGATTGCGTGGGCCACGGGAGGGGAGTTCGCATGGGCGACGGAAGGGGAAACGCGCATGGGCGACGGAAGGGGAAACGCGCATCTCGACGGAAAGGGGAAACGCGCATGGGCGACGGAAGGGGGGCTTGCATGGGCGACGGAAGGGGAAACGCGCGTGGGCGATGGATGGGGAGTTAGCGTGGGCGACGGGAGGGGAGTTCGCATGGGCGACGGAAGGGGAAACGCGCGTGGGCGATGGATGGGGAGTTAGCGTGGGCGACGGGAGGGGAGTTCGCATGGGCGACGGAAGGGGAAACGCGCATGGCCGACGGAAGGGGAAACGCGCATGGGCGACGGAAGGGGGGATTGCATGGGCGACGGAAGGGGAAACGCGCGTGGGCGATGGATGGGGAGTTCCCCCACGCGACGTGAGGGGAGTGAGCGTGGCGGCGGTAGGGGAGCTAGCGAAGGAGACGGGAGGGGAGTGAGCGTGGCGGCGGTAGGGGAGTGAGCGAAGGCGACGGGAGGGGAGTGAGCGTGGAATCGGTAGGGGAGTGAGCGAAGGCGACGGGAGGGGAGTGAGCGTGGGTGACAAGAGGGGAGTACGCGTTGGCGACGGAAAGGGAAATGCGGACGAGTCGCAGGGGAAATGCGAGTGACGGGAAGGGAATATGTGCTCTGGGGGACTTGAAAATGCCTGCGATACGGGAAATGCTAAATGCGGGCTTCGGAAATCGTAACCGCGCGCTACTGATACCTAAAATCACCCACTCCGGTCACTATCAATGCCCTCCCTGCCGCGTCGCCTCCAAGGTGGGGAGTAATCTAATGTCAATGTCATGGATGGAGATATGCGGGGGACCTCATACGTCCTAAGGCATTTGCGCTTACTGGTGGGTACTCGGGTCGACCCTCTCTCTTGATTATCTTCTTTGGCACGAGGGACGTTGCCTGTCTTGGTCGCTGTGCGTTGTACTAGTAGGAGAATAATTAGTGTAGCCGCTAATCAGGTGGTCAAGCGTGGGATGTTTGTCTAGTTCTGCTTGGGATGTTTATCTCAGGTTGTGATAACTTGTCTCAAATTTCATGGGAGCTCAGTAATATGCTTGGTTTGCCTGTGGATGAAGTGTGCTGTGTGTTTTGGTGTCGCACGGAACCACCAACACGTCGTTGACCATCGTGTGGTGCATTTTCAGTCGCCTGCAGTGGTCGTGGAGGACAGGTTGGGTTTGGCAGCAGGGGTAGCAACACTGTAGCTCGACAATTTGCACGTTCCCAACCACCCCCAAACCTGTATAGTGCGAAGGTGCTGTTTGGCGACAAGAGGCAGGGTTACTGGATATCAAGCATATTACACTTGGATGGGTGTTGTGAAATATGAGACGCGGGCTTTAATGTCCTTGGCGTATTTAGAGTATTGCGGGTACTTCTTGGTGATTGCGTTCGCCATGTTCTGCAGCTCGGCTTTTATTTGCGCCTTGGTGGGCTTCGCCGCCTGTGCGTGCGCGGTGGCGAAGCATAGCACGATGCAGAGGAGGCCGAAGAGAGGAATGAACCGTGAGCTAAGAAATTGTTGGGTCAGGGAGATGTCGAAAACGAGACTGGACTGGAAGCGTCTGGCTGGACTGTTGGATTGGGAACTGAGAGAAGTGGAAGCACGAATGTATTGGATGAAGGATTGGATGCACGAAACGCCACTTATAAATCGGACAGAGCTGGCTGGGGGCGCGTCAACAATGACCGACAGGCGGTGCGGGAAGCGGTGGAGTGCTTTCGCGACACAGCATTTCGTAGCCGGCGATATTCGGCAACTCGTAACTCAATGGGGACGAACTGTCGCGAATTCACACGAAACATGTTGGCCAGGGGTTACCTGAAGTTTATCGGTGGCGGCGATTGGTCGCGGTCCGCGTCAATGACATTCGTTGTCATCCCTCCGCACTTGACCTCGAGCTTCCTCGCCAAGGCTCACGCTGTGGGTTGGGTGCCAAACGGCAGCAGGAACAGACAAACGGGAACCGAACATTTCTCTGTCCCTGCTATAATGGTGCTTCTCCCAGCTCGGTGCCTTCACACTCCCTCAACTTGGTTACAGAGAGTATATGAAAAGCAATAGTGTTTTATCTGTTCAACGGAGTTTTATCTAAATGCTTTGGAAGCAGAATAACTTCACCATGCACGAGAATAAGGGGTTAGAATCGTTGTGAAATTTCCGGATGAATTTGAATTATGAATAATAAAGTTATATAGGCATGCAAACTAACAAGTGTTTGACGTGGGCTAATTGAGCATAATCTCTTATATTGAACCCATATAGCGCTTCTAGTCCACCAGTCTCCATAAAAAGTGTTCGAAGTAACATCTTTGGGTTATGGTTGCCATAACTCGGTTGTCGAAGAATCTTCACGAAAGAAAGCGATGCTTCGCGCAGCTTTCAACTTTGCCCCTGGTGAGAGCCTTCAGAGTTCCCAGCGAAGTTTGTTGAATGTTCCTCTGCCTTCGCTGAAAGGGATCCTGCTTGTGGAATTCAGCCGGTCGCCCTGCGAAACAGTTACGGCGACAGTCACCCCCCTCACCACGCCAGTTTCCAATTGGCGACGCGTGGCGTTCAAGTCGCAACCACCACACTATCGCCGTTGACGTGACATGAATGCAACGAATGACTTTCGCCATACGCTGCTGGCAGAATCCATGCCAGCGACACAGTCGAACCAGACCAGCAGCCTTGCCGAGGCAGACCAAACCGCCATCATAGTGCAGACTGCGGAGAAACCGATGTCATCGAGCCTGAAACCTGCCTCAGTCCGAACCGTTCCCATGGTAAGGTGCTTGTCCGTACCTGGTTGCTTGTTGGTGTTTCCAGACCGGGTTGCTTGTTGGAGTGTCCAACCAAACCTCGCAGCTTCTTGGAGTTTCCGAACGCGTTTCCCAGTAATCTGGGCTTTTCCCCTCGCTCCACCCCACCCCGTCACCTCACTGCAATCCTCGCCCTTTCCCTCCCTACCTCCGACCAGGCTTTCATGCCGAACCGTCTCCCGAGCCGACTCCCCCTCATCCCACCATCTTCGTCCTGGCACAATCTCAAACCTAAATCAAAACTTCGGCCTTACTCAATCAACCCTAAGTAGAATATATAGTACTCGGTTCTTCATTTCTCAGCAGTTCAGCTTTGCGTGCAGTTTCGAGTTCATCTACCAGCCTTCTCTCATCCAGCTCTATTATCTTTCTACTAGGCTCAGTCTCGTCAGGCACCATGCAGATCTTCGTCAAGACTCTCACCGGCAAGACCATCACCCTTGAGGTGGAGAGCAGTGATACCATCGACAACGTCAAGGCTAAGATCCAGGACAAGGAGGGTATCCCTCCTGACCAGCAGCGTCTGATTTTCGCCGGCAAGCAGCTCGAGGACGGACGCACTCTTGCTGACTACAACATCCAGAAAGAGTCTACGCTTCACTTGGTGCTCCGCCTTCGCGGTGGTATGCAGATCTTCGTTAAGACCCTCACCGGCAAGACCATCACGCTTGAAGTCGAAAGCAGCGACACTATCGACAACGTGAAAGCCAAGATTCAGGATAAGGAGGGTATTCCTCCTGACCAGCAGCGCCTTATTTTCGCCGGCAAGCAGCTTGAGGACGGGAGAACCTTGGCCGACTACAACATCCAGAAGGAGTCGACGCTGCATCTGGTTCTCCGTCTCCGCGGTGGGATGCAAATTTTCGTCAAGACCCTCACCGGCAAGACTATCACGTTGGAGGTTGAGAGCAGCGACACCATCGATAACGTGAAGGCGAAGATTCAGGACAAGGAGGGTATCCCTCCCGACCAGCAGCGTCTGATTTTCGCCGGCAAGCAACTGGAGGATGGACGTACGCTCGCCGACTACAACATTCAGAAGGAGTCTACTCTTCACCTGGTTCTCCGTCTCCGTGGTGGCATGCAAATCTTCGTTAAGACGCTCACCGGCAAGACTATCACCCTTGAGGTGGAGAGCAGCGACACCATCGACAACGTGAAGGCTAAGATTCAGGACAAGGAGGGTATCCCTCCTGACCAGCAGCGTCTGATTTTCGCCGGCAAGCAGCTCGAGGACGGACGCACGCTCGCGGATTACAACATCCAGAAGGAGTCGACGCTGCATCTGGTGCTCCGTCTCCGCGGTGGGATGCAGATCTTTGTTAAGACTCTCACTGGTAAGACCATCACCCTTGAGGTGGAGAGCAGTGATACCATCGACAACGTCAAGGCCAAAATCCAGGACAAGGAGGGTATTCCCCCTGACCAGCAGCGTTTGATATTCGCCGGTAAGCAGCTGGAGGATGGGCGAACGCTCGCCGACTACAACATTCAGAAGGAGTCTACTCTCCATCTTGTCCTTCGCCTTCGTGGTGGCCAGTAGGCATGTGTCAAGTTCTCTGGCATTTGATGTATCTAGCTGTAAATTGGGTGGCTTCTGTAAATTGGAATGAAGCAGAGGGAGTTTCCTTGTGAACTTTGATTAGCAATGGACATCAGCAGCTGTATATTCTATTCATGATATGCAGGAAAATCAACAACACAACAAGTAGAACCTTTTCACATCCACAGCAAAGCGGTGGAAAATGCCACCGTATGCACTGTGCAATAACCATCCTCCAGGTACAGTTTTGTCTGAGATGTACAACTACTTCAGGAGTATCCAGTGCCAGAGAAAGTGCCATAAATAATATGTACCATGCCATTATTGGATGTTCACCACTGCCTGCGTAGTAGTCGACGCATTATGCGCCTTCGTGTATGTTCTGACCGTACAGCAACAGCAAACAAACGTGGGACCATAGCAGAGAGGCCTAAAAGCAGGACAAGAGGCAGCAAGAAGTGCAGATGCGGCAACGGCATCTGCAGTCGTGAAAGCGAGACGAGATGAGAGGCCATATGTGTGGTGGGGTGGTGTGGAGTGAGTGAAACTGGACGAGGAAGTGGAGGGGGAGGTGTGGGAGATGGAGGGAGAGTGAAGGTGAAGGGGGGTTGCAGGCGGTGGGGAATCTTGTGGAGTGTGTCTGGGAGGAGAGCGAGGAAGGAGACAAAGAGTGCTGTCCATGAGTTCACCACCTCCTGCATGCATTCATTTCATTGGAGGAGGCACAGGGAAAGAAAGAGAGGCAGGGCAAATGTAAGGGACATACCTAATAGGCATGAAGCGAAAGCACATGCCAAGCAAGGCAGTGACGCAATTTTTGGCAGAAAGTGCTGCTGTAGCGGTGTGAATCAGGAACCATGCACTGAGTCAAGCAGCCAAAAGAAGTGCTGACCTTTCAAAAAGAGCATGCTTACTACTCTATGGGATAGCACAGGGGAGCCGGAGTGGGTACCTGGAACTTATCAGTTGTGATGGGGTTGAAGAGTGGGAAGCAGTCGGAGGTGGGAAAACTCTCATCTCCAAATGTCTGGTGATTAACCGAGGAAATGGAGGGATTGGTAAAGGGATGGGTGAAGGGATGGGTGAAGGGATGGGTGAAGGGATGGGTGAAGGGATGGGTGAAGGGATGGGTGAAGGGATGGGTGAAGGGATGGGTGAAGGGATGGGTGAAGGGATGGGTGAAGGGATGGGTGAAGGGATGGGTGAAGGGATGGGTGAAGGGATGGGTGAAGGGATGGGTGAAGGGATGGGTGAAGGGATGGGTGAAGGGATGGGTGAAGGGATGGGTGAAGGGATGGGTGAAGGGATGGGTGAAGGGATGGGTGAAGGGATGGGTGAAGGGATGGGTGAAGGGATGGGTGAAGGGATGGGTGAAGGGATGGGTGAAGGGATGGGTGAAGGGATGGGTGAAGGGATGGGTGAAGGGATGGGTGAAGGGATGGGTGAAGGGATGTGACGCGGCCGAAGGCCCAAGTGCAGTCAGGATGTGTGCGTATGTGGGGGTGGGGGATGGGTGATGAAGCAAATTCAGCGCACGTGTCGGGATGGATCAGAGGGAGGGAACATAAGCAAAACGCGGAACAAGGTGCACGGAAAGAGGGGGTGCAGGCTCTGTAACACGGCACTGTAGACTGCGATAGGGAAAGAGAGAATGAGACAACGCAGGGATGGAGTGAAATACAGGAGTGAAACAAAGCATTCCCTGCGTTGTCTCATTCAGAATGGACTGACACAAAGCACAGAAGGAGAATAAGAACGTCCATCAGCTGGAATGCTGTCCGTCACCTCAAACGTGATTCTTGAGGCGCCTCAACTGTTCAGCTGTGCTGCAAGGGTGCTCTCACCTCAAACGTGAAGGCGAGTGGCACTCGCAGCACATCGTACATCCAGTCAGTGGCTGTGCCGTGGGCAAAGTAGCTGTGGAGGGGATGGGGGGTTGGGGGAATGAGGACTCAACATCCCACAACCATGCTGCAAACGCTCGCAGCACGTCGTGCATCCAGTCAGTGGCTGTGCCGTGGGCAAAGTACCTGCAGGTGATTGACAAGAGGGGAGAGGAGGAGAACACATGCCAATGCCCTTTACGGCGCCTCAACTCTGGCTGTGCCATGGGCAAAGTATTTGCAGGGGATTGACAAGAGGGGAGAGGAGGAGAACACATGCCAATGCCAAGCCATGCTGACAATGCTCAGAGCACGTCGTGCATCCAGTCAGTGGCCGTGCCATGGGCGAAAATATCTGCAGTGGATTGATAACGGAAAAGAGAAAAAGAGGGGGAGAGGAAGAGAACATATATCACAGTGCCATGGTGGAAAGCAGTTGGAGCATGTCCCTGTGCGAGTACTTGTGGGAGGCGCGGAGGGCAGGCGAGGAGGGGAGGCGAGGAGGGGAGGCGAGGAGGAGGCGAGGAGGGGAGGCGAAGAGGGGAGGCGAGGAGGGGAGGCGAGGAGGGGAGGCGAGGAGGGGAGGCGAGGAGGGGAGGCGAAGAGGGGAGGCGAGGAAGAGGGGTGGGTGGAAGGAGTGTATGGGAGGCTTGAGAGGCTTGGGAAACTTGGATGGCTAGAGAGGCTTCATGGGGAACATATGCATTTCAACCTCGCAGCACCACTTTCAACCTCGCAGCACTCACCCCACAAAGCCTCCGCCAGAGCCGATGACACAGCGAGCACCACAGTGAGCTGCATCCAGTCGCTCCAAGAGAGACTAGCGAGGGGAGAGAGGGGGAGGAGAGGAAGGCACGTGGAAGATAAGATGTAAGGCTATGATTCTCCAAGAAGGACTGGCGAGGGGAGAGAAGTAGGAGGGGGGAAGAGAGGAGAGATTGATGTTGGAGGGGTGGACCGTGGAAACATGGGATTGATTTCGTGACACACCGAGCACAGCAGTGCGTATGAACGAGTCAGACGGTGACTGGAACGGCAGCAACGAGGTCATACCCGTTGGTACCGTTCAAGTCACCGTCTATGTAATCTTGAGTAGTTTTTTAGAATGAATTGGCACCATTGGTCTATGCTTCGCTTGCTTCGCAATCCGATCCGCAAAGTGTCTACTGTTAAACGACTTGCTCGTCCTGTGGTCCAGCCTCCAGGCGAGTAAACAGAGCCCCCATGCCCGAATGCACCTTCACCCACACGTTCACCCACACGTTCACCCACACGTGCACAGCACACTACTTCTCCCTCCCTGTATTCTCCACTCACGTGCATGGCAGCGAGTGTGTTTGCATCAACACCATCCCCCCGGTGGTCCAGGGGAGTAAACAACGCCTCCATGCCCGAATGCACGTTCACCCACACGTGCGGCCTGAACCACACCGCCAGCTGTCCCATCGCCTCTGCCTCTGGCTCGCTGAATGCACGAGTCCCAGGAGCCTCCTCCAGAGGGTTGTAATCCTGAGGGGCGAGAGAGCAAGAGAGCAAGGCAGGAGAGAGGGGGTGTGTTTGTGAATGGCAAGCTTTGGGTTCACCCACACCACACGTGTGGTCGGAGCCACACTGCCAGCTGCCTCATTGCCTCTGCCTCTGGCTCGCTGAACGCATGGGTACCAGGGGCTTCCTCTAGAGGGTTGTAGTCCTGGGAAGGGAGATGATAAGGGCGAATCGAAAGGGTGAGGTTCAAACGGCCAAACCGCCAGTTGCCTCACTGCCTCTGCCTCTGCCTCTGCCTCTGCCTCTGGCTCGCTGAATGCACGAGTCCCAGGGGGGCCCTCCACTAAAGGGTTGTCGTCCTGGGAGGCAAGGGGATATTAGAGGGAGTTGAGAAGTGAGGGGGTGAGGGAGTGAGGGAGAGCGAGACTACTGATGGGTTACAATCAGCCAAACCGCCTGCTGCCTCGTCGCCTTTGCCTCTGGCTTACTGAATGCACGTGGTGACTTTTGAGTCGACTCAAAAGTCACCTCTGGCTTGCTGAATGCACGTGCGCCAGGAGACTCCTCCAGACTCCAGAGGGTTGTAGTCCTGCATGAGGAAGAGGGAGTGTTGGAATGAGGGAGAGTGAGGGAGATGAGGGAGAGTGAGCGAGATGAGGTAGAGTGAGGGAGATGAGGTAGAGTGAGGGAGATGAGGTAGAGTGAGGGAGATGAGGTAGAGTGAGGGAGATGAGGTAGAGTGAGGGAGATGAGGTAGAGTGAGGGAGATGAGGTAGAGTGAGGGAGATGAGGTAGAATGAGGGAGATGAGGTAGAGTGAGGGAGATGAGGTAGAGTGAGGGAGATGAGGTAGAGTGAGGGAGATGAGGTAGAGTGAGGGAGATGAAGTAGAGTGAGGGAGATGAGGTAGAATGAGGGAGATGAGGTAGAGTGAGGGAGATGAGGTAGAGTGAGGGAGATGAGGTAGAGTGAGGGAGATGAGGTAGAGTGAGGGAGATGAGGTAGAGTGAGGGAGATGAGGTAGAGTGAGGGAGATGAGGTAGAGTGAGGGAGATGAGGTAGAGTGAACTGCTGATGGATTCCAATCAGCCACACCGCCAGCTGCCTCATTGCCTCTGCCTCTGGCTTGCTGAATGCACGTGCGCCAGGAGCCTCCTCCAGACTCCAGAGGGTTGTAGTCCTGCACGAGGAAGAGCAAGGGAGGAGGGAGAGAGCACGGGCTACAGTCTCAATGGTGTGGTGAGGCACGGCGAGGTGTGGCATGGTGCGGTGAGGCATGGTGCGGTGAGGCACGGTGAGGTGTGACATGGTGCGGTGTGGCATGGTGCGGTGTGGCATGGTGCGGTGTGGTAACCTACCTTTTCTTTCACGCCCCAGTCGCAGTCCCAGTTCCTGTTAATGTCCACACCACGCCCTGCCATGGGGGATGGGCCATGGGGAAGGGGCCATGGGGAAGGGGCCATGGGGAAGGGGAAGGGCTAGAGATCAACGGGTGTTGAGTGAAAAGCAGGAGGCCTGCCTCAGTGTGCTCATTTCTTGAGAACTATTTGCTTAGAATTAAGAATAATGTGTATTGCTTAGAAAATGATTCATGGTGGATTGGTTCCCTATGACAGAGCCAACGTCACGTAATCAACTGGGCTGGGCTTGAGCAATTTCAAGAACCAAGCAGGCATTTCATGCCGCGTGGTAGCAATTCTTGTGAATGGAAAGCCACCTGATTGTGGAGTGCTACACACCCCAGTTGCATGATTCAAGTGAATACCCAGTTCTTGATGGTGGTGGTCCCAGTTCTTTGGTCTACCCACATCTTCTGAAATCAAGCTCCATTTGTGCTTCACGTTACAAGAACTCCGCCCGCCCGTCGTTACATTGCATCTCTCCTCTTCGTTACATCTCTGCTCGTTACATCACATCTCACCGTTTCGTCGTTCACAAAGCTCGCCTGCCTCCACCTTCTTCCTCCCGTTCACATTCTCCATGGGCACCATCTGCAAGCAGCAGAGCAGAGCGGAGCAGAGCAGAGCGGGCACAATGAAACTATTTTCAGATTTGAAGTGCCTCGAAAGTGACCCGCCTCCACCTTCTTCCGCCCGTTCACATTCTCCATGGGCACCATCTGCGAGAAACAGGACCAGCAAAACACATATAATCATTTCCAAGAGCCATAGGATATTGTTTACCCAGTCGTCATCGAGTTTTGAGGCGCCTCAAAACTTTTTGAGGCGCCTAAAAAATCATTCCCAAGAGTTCTAGGATATTGTTTACCCAGTGGACGACGTCGACTCACAGGTCAACTCACCGTGATAACCAGGTGTGGCCAGATCAGTGCCAGTTGCTCCCACCTTATTCCACCCTCAGACCCCTCCTTCCCTCCCCCCTCCCTCCCCCCCTCCCCCTTCTCCTCCTCCACTTCCTCACTCTTCTCCTCTTCCCCTTCACCCTTCCCTTCCTTCTCTTCTCCCTCCGTATCTTCCTCCCCTCCTCCAGGCTCGTTGTTTTTCTCCGCCGCTCCCTTCTCAACCACCTCCCTCTCCCCCACGAGAACCCTGAGAATGTTAAAGCCCAGCTCAGTGGTGATGGCTTCTCGTCCGTGCTGCCCAAACACCTTGACCCTTGATGGCAGGGGGTGGGAGGGGAGGGGGAGGAGGCAGAGGGTGGGAGGGGAGGGGGTGGGGGCAGGGGGAAGAGGCAGGGACAGTGAGGCATGAGAGAGCGGACGAAAATACCCCTTCTTGCGTTGTGCACTTCCCTCTCCGCCACCTCATTCTCCCCCCCCCCACGAGGACCCTGAGCAGGTTAAAGCCCAGCTCAGCTCATTGCGAATGGCTTCTCTCCCGTGCCGCCCAAACACCTTTTGCCTTGAGGACCAGCCAGGAGGACAATACTGTACGACTCATGAGCGAATCGGAAGCAAGAACCTACCTGAAGCACGTACACACACGCACACCCGCACGCACACGTGGGCGGTACTTACAAGGAGAATGCGCAGCTTTCCCGACAACTCGGTAGGGAGAAGCATGAAGAAAGAGCCCATCAACGCTTTTTGAGGCGCCTCAAAACTCGGCAATTTTTTAGGCGCCTCAAAACTCGGCAGGGAGAGGAGACATAAAGAAAGAGCCCATCAACGCCGTCTGCACTGCACTGCACTGCTGCATTGAGTTGAGCCAGATGGGAAGGGAAGCCCTCCTTCCTGAAGCACACGCACGCACTTACAAGGAGAATGTGCAGCTTTTCCAACAGCTCGGCAGGGAAGGGAAGGGAGGAGGGTCGAGAACCCCTCCAATGAAGGTGTCTGCACTGCTGTCACTGCTGTACGACTCATGAGTCGTACACACACTGATGGAGCTGGGAGAAGGAGACCTCCTGACGCACACACACGTGGGCGGTACTTACAAGAAGGATGCGCAGCTTCCCTGATAGCTCCGCAGGGAGAACCATGGAAAGCCCCTCCACGGCATCTGCACGGCTGCACTGTGGCGATGGAAGGGGAGGGGGGGAGCCCTTGCGGAGCACACACAAACAACACAAGCCGTGCTTACAAGCAGGATGCGCAGCTTCCCAGACAGCTCCGCGGGAATAACCGTGGAAAGCCCCTCCACTGTATCCGCACGGCTGCACGACGCGTTGCTGCGCCCCCCCAGCCGGTTGAAGTAGCGAGCATCGCCACCGAAACCGCTGAACGCGCCCTCGCCTGCTGCTGTCGCTTCCCCTGCTTCTCTCGCACCCGCCACGTCACCGTTTGCAGTCGCCACGTCACTGTTTGCACTAGCCACGTCACCCACTGCAATAGCTACATTGCTGTCTGCAGCAGCAGCAGCAGCAGCACCACCACCACGCACACCTGTCCCCTTGTTCCCTGCTTCAGAAGCAGATCGCACAGAGGACCCCCTAATAGCAGCGCCCTTAGAAAGATCACCTTGCAATCCACTAGCATCAACAGCCGCAGCAGCTTCAGCCGTAGCACCAGCAGCTGCAGCAGCAGAGGCAGAAGCAGCAAGCGGTATATCATGCTTCATAAAGGCGTCGGGAAGAGAGGAACGCCTGTTGGGCCGAATGCTGTGCAGGTGCCGCCTGAGTGAGGGAGTTCTGACAGCATCGGTGTGGAGAGCGGTTGTGAGGTTTGTCAGACCGCTCTCCCTGCTTTCCCTGCCCTCCCCGCCGTCCCTGCTCCCACCAGGATTGCTCCGCTCACTCATCTCACTCCTCTCACTCCTCTCACTGCTGACTATGCTGCTTCTGGTGCTAATGAGTCGTCTGCGCGTGTTGCTGCTTCTCGCCCCATCCCTCCTCCTCATCCAATGCTCCCTTGCCACCCCTTCCGAAACCCCATGCCTTCCGTCCAAGCCTCCTCCAGCAGCACCTTCCAAGCCTAAACTGGAGGTTTGGGCCGAGCCTGCATCCGAGGCTACAGGTCTGCCAGCTTGGGAGCGAGGCAGTGGGATGCGTGCACAGTGTAGCGTGACTGCAGTGAGGGTTGATGTGTACCCGCCAGAAGACTGAATCGTTATCTCCTTAAGCTGCATTGGTTGGATGACATTGCATTAAAAGATGACAAGACAGGGGAAGTAAAGGAAAGGGAGGCATATTTGATATCATCCTCCTAAATGAGACTTAGCCGAGATGCTTCTGCTCAAACCACTGCTGGCATGATGCAGGGAAGAAGATAATAAGAGAAGTTCAGAAAGGGCCTGCAAGCTCACCTCTGCTGCAGCATGTGGATGGGATGACTGGTAACTAAGTCTGTGTGTGCCACGCAGAGCTGCTCATTTTCCCGTCTATGGTCAGACAAGGGAATGACAAGCTCACCTCTGCAGCATGGGGATGCCGGGCTGCAAGAGCGCGGATCTTGCGGAGCAATGCATCACTGCGTGGGAATGGTCAACATGGTAGTCATATACAGTGGGGGATTCCGGGTATGTTTGTTAAATGACACCCAAAATCTTTAGGTAATTGTATGCAGTGCTTAGAATATATTTTGATACAGCCGAAATAGTTGCTGCCAGAGCGAGGAATAGAACCTGTAACGAGGATCCAAAGTGGGGACGTGGACTCGAACCTGGAATGGTGAAGAGTGAAGTTGAATGGTGAGATCTTCGGTGGTTCAGTGGGGTTCGACGTGGACGGGTGTTTTTTTACTCGACTCATATACGTGCGGATTCGAACCTGGAGTGGTAGAGAGTGAAGTTGAAAGGTGTGATCTTCTGCGGTTTGGTGGGATTCAACGCGGTCGAACCACTGTCGCTGTCAAGCGTCTGAGCAGTCACATTAGGCCGCTCTTGCTCCTCGGTAGTTTGTGAAGCGGAGAGAGCAGGACCGAGCAGCAGGAGAAGAGCGACAAACGCCTGGATTTGCGGGAGTTGAGAAGCCAAAAAAATGAGAGGAATGCGGGTTGACGAGGGCTTGTAAGGCCATCTATCTGCTTCTGTCGTGACAATTGTGCTACTAAGACGAGTTTTGCGTGCATTCTGCGTACTGTACCTTAGTGGTACAGCGGTAAAGACGGAGCGGGTGATGGTGTGGACGTTGTAGCGATCCAACGAACCAGAGGAGGCCGTGCATTGCGGACACGACAGCGTCGCTCGCTGCAAGATTAAACCTACTGTGCCGTCTGCTTTCGTCCAGCAAAATTGCACCTTACGTGTCGCTTTGCTGCCATGGTTATCGCCATTTAAATTACGGGATGTTGCTTGAAGGACATTCTTTCCGCAAAAGAACGGTGCTTGTACAAGCAGATGCACACTGGATCAGCCATAGCCGTTAGTAGTGAGGCTGAAGATTGGGTTCGTGAGTGTAGTCGTCAGGCCAGTGAGGATTTTGGATCAGGACAACTATATGGAAGGCCAGGAACCGCGGTGAAGCAAACTAAATCGAACGTAACCGCTCCTAACTGCCGCTATCTCGTCTTACATTTCTGGGCTGAGCTGGTTACCAAATGTAAGCACCAACGAAGTTACCACCTCGTGTCTGACAAGCGATTTGGAACCCTCGCCTCGCCTTCAACGGCTGCATCTTCCCATCGCCTCGTTCGTGCAACACGAAGTGAAAGGCCAACCTGTCGCCACCGCGGAGTCCCAGTTGGGTGTTGTAGGTTTCGCTGAACGTGCCAGCATGGGTGCCGTCGCCATCGTTCTCGTCCACTAGTTCGCTGACCCCCCATTTCGCAAAAATCAGGGCCAAGCGAAAATCGGAAGGAACTTGTGGACGAGGTGTTACTTCTCGTGAAGAGCATTCCACCAATCTGCACCGTGCTAAAAGATCAATGCAACATTCTGGACCGGCTACAACCTTCTTAGTGGTAAAGGTAGGGATATGCAGGCAAACTTCGAGGTTGACCAATGAACAACCCTCGAGTTTCCCTTTTGGTTAGAAAGGGCTACTGTACTGTGCAATGCAAACAGCACATAGGATAGATCAACTCAACTCAACCACCTCCAGCAAGCACCTTCCCGCCATAATCTAGGTTCTGGTTGGCGATCTACTTTATTAGTTGTCTATCAAAAGCGTAGCTGCTGTGGCCAGTAGTACAACCCAGTTTGCTGATTTCAGTCTTCTCGTTATGCTCCCTCCGCCCAAATGTTAGTTCGCCAGCCCGTCTTTGCGATGTAGTACTTGTATTCTCACAGACGAACCAGATAAGAGAATCGAGTTATTCAGCTACCAGACTAATCCTCTCATGGAGAGGCACGACTGGAGCACCCATTTCACGCAGAAAGGATCGATCAGCATCAAGGTAAATGTTTGACGAAGGGCATCTAGGTGAAAAGTGCATTGCTCCCTGGTCTATGCCTTTGCTAAGTCCAGTCGACGCCAGTTCAAAGTTCGCGAAGCACCGTGTTCGACGCTTCAGCCCTCTGCTTCGGCCCTTTTTTTCTCGAGTTACGTCGAACTGCGCTGACTGTCTTCCCGAGAATGGATATTTCTGGCATTATTGTTGTTTGTCCTGCAGAATAAAGTTCGCACGGCCACTATCACTGGAGGAGCCAGCGAACACATTAGTAACCCGTCGCGACGTGCTGAGGTAGACGTGTCGCCAAAGGACTCCACACCGCAGTCAGCTGCTGGAGAGGATCGGTCCCAACCTGAGTCGGAGCTTCGGAAAATCTCACGAGAAACATCGTCAGCTCCAGATCAAGAAAAGAAGCGGCACCAACAGCACCTTCAGCAGCACCAGCAGCAGCAACTAGGAGCCCAGCCGAAGCGGCAGAAGCAGGATGAGTCATCTTCAGCATCACGGCATAGAGACGCTTATTCCAGGGTAAGAGATAAACCTTTTGTAGAAAAAATAACGAAATGTTGACTATTTTCTAGGTACAATACGAAGTTCTACACCAGAGTAACGAATTGTGACAAGTGACATGATCAAAGTAAGTCTGATTAGCGTAAGGTTTTTGTTGCCTTCCAATTTCCACTAAATTATCTGGTTTATCGCCCCTTCCCCCTTCTCCGCGCACTCCCTTCCGCCCCCGCCTTCCCTCCTCCCTTCTCCTCACCTGCCGTCTCTGCTATCCCCCTACTCCTCACCCGCCCTCCCCCTCTCCAGCGCCTGCTCCCCCCAGATGCGCTCCCCTGGGCGGCACTAGCGGGGGGTGCGGTGGCAGCCGCCGCGATGGCAGCAGCAGGGCTGCGCAACCGACAAATGGCCCAAGGCCAGCAGCAGCAGCAGATGATGCCGCAGCAGGAGCAGCAGATGCATCCCGGGCCTGGTTACAGCAACCACCACCACCGCAACCAAGCATGCGACGGCGCCCAGCCTCTGCCGTTTCGCCGGGGTTCCGAAGCGTCGTGCTGCACCACTGCTGCTTCGGGTGTGCAGAGCGGAGTGGGGAGCGGGGGCGGAAGAGGCGGAAGATGCAGGGGACATGGGGTCAGGGTGAACAGTCACGGTAGGAGTGGAAGGCCGGGGGGAGGGGGAGGAGGAGTAGGCACAGGAGAAGAGGCAATAGCAGCAGCAGCAGCAGCAGGAGGAGAAGGGGCAACAGGAGCAGGTGAAGCAGGAGGAAGGAAGAAGAATGTAAGTCTCGCATCCCTAGCTGCACGCTCCCCTCGCACCCCCACCACCACCACCAACAACACCAGCACCACGGCCAGTGCTCTGGAGCAGGGATTGAAGCGCCTCTCTCTCGCAGCCGCTGAGAAGCAAGCGCAAGAGCCCGGAGCTGGACACGCAGCTGCTGCATCTACCTCTGCTGCTGCGGGCAGTGCGGGCGGCACTAGTGCTGAAGGCGCTGGGGCTGATAGCGGTGGTATCGGTAGTGGTGGTGGTAGTGGTGGTGACGGTGCTGCTGGTGGTGGGTCGAGTGGTGCTGCTGGTGATGGTGCTCTGGCTGTTCCAAACTCGAGTGAGGAAGAGGAGAAAATCGTATCCCCCGCGTCTGTGCTCCGTTCTAGAGGCAGTGCTGACGAAACGGGGCCGTCTCGGTGCAAGACTGAGGGAACGGGGCGTTCTAGGGGTAGGACAGATAGACGAGCCTCCACGTGTGTAACTCACAGCCCTCACAGCCCTCACAGCACGCGCGGGAGGAGCAAGACGGATGCGAGCGCTTCTCCCTGCTCGCGGCACTGCAAGCATGGGACCGAGGGCGGGTGTTATACAAAAGCGAAGAGAGAGGGAGTGAGAGAGCATGGGGACGTGGAGGAGAGTGAAGGGGCGGAGTACGAGGAGGGGTCGCAGGACGACTGGCACCGGGGGTATCAGTGGCAGCACGCGGGCGAACGAGATGGAGAGCGTGAACGAGAAGGAGAGCGTGAACGAGAAGGCGAGTGCGAAAGACATCAGGAAAGAGGAGGCGCGAAAGCCACGACTGACAGTTACCCATCTTATGCGTACAGCAATGCCCTTTTCGAATTGGACAGCTCCCGTGTTGGCGGCTTCCCCGGATCAGAAACGTTCAGCAAATCCTCGCCAGGTTCAGCCTTCCTTGGCGTAACTCCCGAGGCTTCTCCAGGGTTCACCATCCCAGGATCGTCTATCCCAGGATCGTCTATCCCAGGATCGTCTATCCCAGGATCGTCTATCCCAGGATCGTCTATCCCAGGATCGTCTATCCCAGGATCGTCCATCCCAGGATCGTCCATCCCAGGATCGTCCATCCCAGGATCGTCCATCCCTGGGTCATCCATCCCAGCTTATTCCTTCCCACAGTCGTCGTTCCAGCAGTCGCCTACTCCAAGGCCCACCCCTGGGTCTAACGCGTCTCGCCCGCGTTCGTCTGACGGATCCCTCTGCTCGCACCTGTCCCCGCTGCCCTCCCCTGCCGTCGGTAAGCCGCTGGCATCCGCAGGCCTGAGCAGCGCGGAGCTGGGCTCTCCTGCTGTTGGTAAGCCACTGGCATCCGCGGGTATGAGCAGCGCGGAGCTGGGCTCGCAGCATCCGCTTCACAGGCCCCTGGGAGCAGCGAGTGCGAGCCGAGCAGAGGTGCTGCGGCTAAGAGGGCAGCTGCGGCGGCGGGACGAGATGATATTCTCGATGCAGACGCGCATGGGGATGCTGGAGGAGGAGAGGCGGAGGGCGGAAAGGGAGTCTGTGAATGCTGTTGCGGCTGCTGCGGTGGCGAGGGAGGAAGCAGGGGAAGCAAGAGTGCAGCTGCGGGAGAGGGACGAGATGATTGCTTCGATGCAGGCGAGGATGGGGGCGTTGGAGGGGGAGAGGAGGCGGGCGGAGGGGGAGATTGCGAGGGCTGAGGCAGCAGTGGCGGCGGCAGAAGCGGCAAGAGCAGCGGAAAGAGCAAGCGCGGCAGCAGCAGCTGCGGAGCTGCAGAAGCGCGAGGAGATGATTGTGTCCCTGCAGGCGAGATTGGTGATGCTGGAAGGGGAGAGGCGGCGAGCGGAAGAGCGGGAGACCGCGAGTGCTGCAGCAGCTGCGGCTGCCCGGGGGGAAGCGGGTGCTGCTGAGATTGAGGCTCTGAAGGGGCAATTGCAGGAGAGGGAGAGAGTAGTGGAGGAGAGTGGGAAGAGGGCGGATGAGAGTGAGAGGAGGGTGGGAGAGAGTGTGGGGAGGGCAGTGATGTGGGAGGAGAGGGCGAAGGAGGCTGTTGCTGCACTGGAAAGCAAGGCCAAGGAACTAGAATCATCACAGCAGGAGTTAGAATCAGCACAGCAGGCACTGGATTTAGCACAGCAGGCGCTGTCTTCTGCGCTGGAGGAACTTGCCGTGGTCCGTGCTGCTGCCGCAGCAGCTGAGGCGAAGGCGGTAGAGGGAGAGACAGGGAGTGAAGGCGCAGCGTTTGTTACTCTCGCTGCAAGTGCTGCTGCTGCTGGTGAAGGTTCTGGTGCTGGCGGTGCAACTTCTATAAGCATTTCTTTGGCCCACCCGACCAGTCCTTCTGATTCTGTGCAGCTGACAGAGCGACAGCTGGAGGACATCCGGGCCTTGCTGGCGGATTACCGAACCTTGGAGTCCGCCCTGGCGGAGGCTCGGGAGGAGTGCCGAGCCTTGGCGGCAGCTAAGGAGGAGGGCGAGCGGGCGATGGCACAGGCGCTGGCGGAGCATGCAGAGATGGTGGAGGAGGTGGCAAGAATGGAAGGGGAGATTAAGAGATTACGGGTAGAGGCGAGGGAGAGAAGTTGAGCAGATGGTGTAGCCACGGGTACTGACCTGTGGAAAAAGGAAGGGGAGGAGGCGAGGGTGGGTGAGATGGCGAGAAGGATGGAGGGGGAAGTGAGGAGTCTGAGGGATGAGTGCGGGGCGCTGGCAGCGGCTAAGGAGGAAGGGGAGCGGGCGATGGCACAGGCTTTAGCAGAGCATGCGGAGATGGTGGAGGAGGTGGAAAGAATGGAAGGGGAGATTAGGAGATTAAGGGTAGAGGCGAAGGAGAGAAGTGGAGCAGATGGTGTAGCGACAGTTCCTGGCCTGTGGAAAAAGGAAGGGGAGGAGGAGACTGGGGGTGAGATGGTGAGGATGGAAGGGGAATTGAATAGACTGAGGGAGGAGTGTGGGGCGCTGGCAACCGCTAAGGAGGAGGTGGATCGGGCGAGGGTGCAGGCACTGACTGATCATGCGAAGATGGTGGAGGAGATCAGGAGACTGAGGGAAGAGGCGGGGGAGAGGGCAGAGGGCACATCGATTGGCCGACCGACTTTGGCGGAGCATGCAGAGATGGTGGAGGAGGTGGAGAGATTGAGGGCAGAAATGAAGAAGGTTCAGGCTGTAGTCAAGAGGAGAGAAGCTGAATCGGATTCCAGAAACGAATGGGGAAGGGGGAAGCAGGAGGAGCAGAGGGAGGAGGAATCGGTGGTTGTTGGGAGTGAATTGGAGGATACTTTTCGGTCTGGCTTGGCAGTGGCAGGTGTGAGGAGGATAGAGGGTGTAAGGGGGGAGGAGGGGACGGCTGGAAAACAAGTAGTTTTTTCAGCTGAAGCAGGAGGAGTAGACACAACAGCAGACACAGCAGAAGACACATCAGCAGACACCGAAGCACTGGCAGTGGAATTGGCAGAGTCGTTCCATCGAGTTACTGTCGCTGAGAATAAGTCGGATGAGGTTGCTGCTGCTGCTGCTTCTGCTGATGCTGCTACTATTGCTGCTGCTGCTGCTGATGAGGTTGGTGCTTCTGTGGGTGGCACTGCTACTGCTGCGGCTGCTGCTACTGAACATGGTACTACAGGTGTCTCTGGTGGTGCTGGCTTTGCTCCAAATGCTGCCTCCTTTGCTCCAAATGCTGCCTCCTTTGCTCCAAATGCTGCCTCCTTTGCTCCAAATGCTGCCTCCTTTGCTCCAAATGCTGCCTCCTTTGCTCCAAATGCTGCCTCCTTTGCTCCAATAGCTGCCTCCTTTGCTCCAAATGCTGCCTCCTTTGCTCCAAGTGCTTCTTTGGCTTCACCCAGTGGCACTGCTTCACAAGTAGCTGCTAGTTTCACATCATACAGTAACTCTGCATCTCACACTTTTGCTGCTTCTGCGTCTGCTGCTGCCGCTGCGGGAGTAGAGGGCGCATCAGATGTTGCAGCAGCAGCGGTCTTGGCAAAGCTGGTCGCTGCTGCCGAGCAGGCCCTCTTTTTCGAGGGTAATTTCCCCAGAGATACCCCTGGAGTCCCCACCAGTGACATGATTGAATCTGGTATTGGGGGAACAAGGAGCCTTGTAGGGAGACAGGAGGAGCAAGGGAGAGCAGGCAAGGGGATGACTACAGGGTATTTAAGCCGTCACTCATCTGGTGGTGCGGAGGGCGAGTTGAGTCCTCTTAAACGGATTAGGGAAGATGACAGTATCGAGTATTTGCTGGAGAACACTGACTCAAGCATGGGCCGGCACAGGGGGCCTGTGGTGAGAGCCTTAGGGTTTCACGTGGGCAGCAGCAGTAGTGGTGGTGAAGTGGGGGTAATGAGTGCAGGCGCTACTAGTGGTGCTGCTGGCACTGTTGCTACTGGTAGTATCACTGCTGGTGTTTCTGCTCCTTCCGCTGTGACTGCTGCTGGGGTCACTGCTGGGGCTGTCCCTGCTGGGGTGGTCCCTGGTGGTGCTGGTGCATCTTCTCCCTTGCTCAGCCTGCTGTCTCCTCACGAAGTGAATCTCTTGAGACAGCATGCCATGCAGCTGAGGGCGAGGGTGGCAAGAAGAGGAGGCGCAGTAAGTGAGGGAGAAGCTGGTGGAACAGGCGCAGCAGGAGAAGCAGGGGGCACGGGGCAGTCTGGATCCTGTGGGAGTGGAGAGAGGGGCAGCAGCAGTGATGCTGTCGTGGGTGCTGCAACTGGTGGCGCTGCCGTAGCAGCGGCAGCGGAAGCAGTGGAAGGGGCAGAACCAGCAGTAGCAGCAGCAGCGGCGGCAGCAGCAGGAGTAGCCGCAAGGGACCAGCAGGCCAGAGAACCGTTCAGATTCACTGCGTCTTGTAATGTCTCTGATTCTGCCCATGCAGCAGCAGCAGCTGGGTCTGGAAGGGACAGGCGTCCTCTTGCTGACCTCCTGTCACCCGGGAGAGAGGGAAGGGTGTTGGGAGGAGGGATGAGGGGCAGCAGAAGTGACTCCAGGTTTCACGACCGACAACACCACCAGCACCCACAGCACCACCACCAGCACCACCAGCACCAGCACCAGCACCAGCAGCAGCGGCAACAGCGTGCGAAGCAGGCGAGTGTGAGGGAGAGCAGTGGGCGGTTTGTGCTGGTGCCTGACAGCAATGACCCCAGCAAGAAGCGCTGGCGGTGGGAGAAGACGGATCTGAGAAGCAGTGCAAGCAGTGCAAGCAGGAGCCGGAGCAGGAGCAGCAGGGGGGGTGGTTCTCCTGGTGCGGCTGATGCTGCTGCAGGGAATGCTGCTGCTGGGACTTTTGGGGATGGTGAAAACGGTGTGACTGGTGTTGCTGCAGCAGCAGGGAGCGCTGGTTCAGCTGGATCAGGCGCTTCTGGCTCCTCTCTTGCATCTCCTGCTGGTCTGGGTGGGTCTTGGGGCTTTGGTGGCCCTGGTGCTCCTGGTGGTTCTGGTGGTTCTGGTGGTTCTGGTGGTGCTCCTACTGGGGATACTGGTGCTGGTGGTTCTGATGCTGGTAGTAATTGTGGTGATGCTGCATCAGCTGCTACTACTGCTGGACCAGTGACGGTAGTTGGTGAAAGGATGCCTGAACAGGGTTATGCTGTGGTGACACCTGACCCTGCAGCCGCGGCACCAGGTACTGGAGCAGTGGATGGCAATTCACGAGTTAAAAAGGCAGGAAAATATTTATGGAACCTTCTTGATGACATGTAGATCTCATTGTCGTGAAATTTTGATATATTTGTGTAAATCAACAGCCCCTGAAGGTTTTGTGTGTCACAATATTTGTTTCCCCTCATTTTTTTATGTTTTTTCCGGAATTATAAACGGACTTTTATAACGCGTTAGCACAGCTTTCCCCCGAGTGACAACATGGGAAGGCTATTGCACCTTGGGATTGACGCACAATCTGCCAGCGATCAGAGTGTTCAATGAGCCGTTCCAATAGCGAGCCGTCCGCAATCCGCCAAGTACAGTAGTCTACCAGCGAGCAGTGTCATGTACCAGTAGCTGGGCTCTTGGGTCGGACGATAGCGCGGATCGTTTGAAGGGAATGCTTTATGCACTCAGCGCGCTAGTGTGCTTCTCCTGAGATTTTGCGGTTCTAGAGGCCCGTCTTTTGAAGCGTCGCGTCGCGTGGATTTTAACTCGGTCGCGCCCTGATGCTGTAGTATTGAAGCGCGATGCCGAAAATTCGGTATAGGGAGATTCTAGAGAGCGGTTGCGGATTAAGTTGATGCTGAGGGTAGAACGTTGTTTCAACTCCAAGCGCGCCGTTCGCGGTGACTCTTCAGTTGAATCGAGATATTCGTAACGGCGTAACATTTTCTCGCTAAAAAGTCGTGATCATTTTTCGCGCATTGAGCTGCGAATCGTATCCTGACCCACTAGCGAAAGCAGCATGCGAATGGCGAAAAATCTGAACTGCATCTTCTGCGACATCGCCAAGGGGGTCACTCGGCCGGGTCGTGAGCCGACCACGCTGCTTTACAAGGTGACGCGATTGTGGATAATAGCTCGTCGTATCTCCCTCCTTCGAACTCTGTCCATGCGTCCTTGGGTTTTCTGATAGGTCACTGTACAGTTTTGCTATTACCCACAATCGAGTCATGCCTGTTGATGGTTGCTGTTTTCATCTGGCTATTTCACAACCTGGCACGGAATTGCATTGCCTGGCATTGCATGCATGGGATGGGATGCCAAATGCCGCATGATGGGTTTGATTGGCATGGAATCGTTGTATGGTGTCGTATCGTTGTATGGTGTCGTTGTATGGCATGTATTACCGTACGGATTGTTGTGCAGAGCAGGATGACTTGTTAATAGCATTCCCCGATATAAAGCCAGCTGCTTACAAGTAAGTCACGACCATATGTGCACAACACAAGCAGGCGTGGTTTGGTAAATCGGGCTGGTGGGGGGGTTGGTGGCATTGGCAAGTATCACTGCCAAAAGGTTCATCTGCGAATGTGCATGTGTGTGCCCATGCGTGTGCATGCTCGCTCTGTTCTTATTGCACAATGTATTCTGTGTAACCACCGTCTATTGTGATTGTCCTTATCCATGCGTTCAAGCGTCCATCATGCAACCATGCAATCATGCAATCATGCAAACATGCACCCTTGCAAACACGCAACCATGCAACCATGCAACCATGCGTCCACGCCACTTATCCAGGCGCATCCAGGTGATCCCCATAGGGCACATGCCAACACTGAACCATCTCAACCCCATTAAGCGTAGCTGTGTTTGTCATCTTGATGCCAACATGCCATTTATTCATGCGCCCATCCATGCGTCCTTCCATGCCACTTCCTTTTCCATTCTCCCGCTTCGTGTCAAATCATCACTACAAATTAGGCCATTGTACCTTCTGCCCTGTGTTATCCTTCTCACCTGCTCTTATGCCTTCCTTTTTCAAAATTTATCCTAAAATACCGTATCTTAAAAAACGATTTTAAGAAATAATTTATCTGGGTGGAGAAAGCCATCGTTTTTTTCAGTAAATAATCACTACTGCTGCTGTGACAAGGGTATTGTTTTGTGAGTAGAACGAGGGGGCTGTTAGAAGTGCTGCTGATGCATCCATCCATGTGTCCATGCGTGACACATGCCTCAATGCGTCCATGCATCAATGCGCACCCATGCACATGCAGGCACATCCAGGTCATCCCCATCGAGCACATAGCAACAGTGAACGATCTCACCCCCAGCGAAACACATCGGCAGCTGGGTGCGTTCTTTCTTACCTTCTACGGTTTATGCATGCATGCGCTCGTGTATGTGCGCCTTAATTAGCGCATGCATGTGTGCATGTATGAGGGCATCCATGTGTGCATCCATGCACATGCGAATTGTCTCTACCCCCATCTGACTCCATCGCCCTTCTCTCTTCTCTCTTCTCTCTTCTCTCTTCTGTCTTCTCTCTTCTCTCTTCTCTCCTTGCATCTGTTGCATCCATCTCGGCACCATCTCCACCATCTTCCATTCACCCTCGTCATGCACACATCTCCACCTTTGCACCCCACTCTTCCTCGCTCCCCCTCTCTCCTCCCTCCGCCCATCCCATGCAGTGGAGAGCATGGTGGCACTGGGTCATAAGCTTGTCAGAGAACATGCACCTGATGCCAAGGAGTACCAGTGAGTCAGTGCGCTAATGAGTCAACCCCTGAGTATTAAAATTACCCGTGAGTCTGAGTATTACAAAACAGAACCTGATTTGGAAATGCTTTCGGAATCCCAAAAGTAACAGAAGGAGAACTCGCATGAGCAATTCCAGACGCTCAGTAGTTGTACCACTCCCACCAGCGAGTCTGTGCGAGAGCAAGGGGGCCCTGGCCTCGGTGAAACAACTTGTTCCGTCCTGCCTCCCCAGCCCGGGCCTCAGTGAAAGTCTGTGCATGAGTACGTGAGTAAGAGGTCCCCCTACCCCCCGTTCCCCTCTCACCCTCCCAATGCCCCCCTAGCTTTGGTTTGGCTTCCACCGCCCTCCGTTCAACAGTGTCAACCACCTTCACCTGCACTGCCCTGCTTCTCCCTCCCGTACCCTAGTCTTCTCCTCAGCTCCCCCCATCCCCCCTTCCCCCTTCTCCCCGCCCCCCTGGTAGCTTTGGCTTCCACCGCCCGCCATTCAACAGTGTGAACCACCTTCACCTGCACTGCTTCGCCCTCCCCTTCCACTCCTGGTGAGCAATGCGCGGAGTTCTTTGTTCCAATGCATTTTGAGCCCTTGTGATGAGGTGCACGGAGAGAAATCCGAGCACCAAGTGCATTTTGAAAGGGGCGGAATGCCGCAACTAGAAGCTTGCTCCTCTCGTTTTTCGGATTTTCCCATGGGCAACAAGTGAATGTTAATTTGTCTCCTCTTCTATCCCAAGCGAGTCAGAGTGTTTCTAGAGAATGGACCCACTGACGGGAGCAGGAATAACTTATTTCAATCAATATACAATGCAACATCGTGTGCTGAACTCCAATCGATCTGGTTAATTCTGTCCTTTGCAGGTTCCACCAGCTGAAGTACACTCCAAGGCTATTGATTCCATTCTTCCTGACACCAGATGCATTATTAGAACGGCTCGGAAAGCCAGCAGCAACGAATGAGTGACTTGGGATTAGAAGCAGCAACATGATTGGATAAGACCGCTCAAATGGTTGGTTGGCATATAAACTCACCCATAAATCATATGTTTCTGAGCTGCCTATGCTCACGAGAGGATGTTCCATATAACTTTGCTGTGGGTCTTTCTCGGGTAACCGAAGTTATCATAGGCCGATTCTTGCAATGTGCTTGGTAATGCACTCTGTTTTGTTTACAAAAGCTCTCAAAAGCTTTCGTCGTTCAAAACTTGCTTTATTCAACGTGAGTGTTTCAATATCGCGGAACAGTAGCATTTCTGTTCTCCCCTTCCCGTTGTGCCTAGGAATTTCGACTGCTGTCTGACGTCCTCGATATTATCCAACCTCTTTTTTTACAACGGGTACTTTTCCCGCCTTTTTTCAACAGCCAAGAGCCGGAGCCCTAAATTCGACAGTCCACGCGCCCGCATTCCCCGTCATCCACGTCATCCCCCGCCTTCCTTGTCATCCTCATCACACTGATTCGCGTATCACTCTGCTCACTTCCGCACTGGGCAAGGCGTGGGTTTACCCTAGTGATTTGGTAGCTGTTAGCTCTCCTACTAACGTGTGAGCTCTGTTAGTAGCGCTAAAAGTATCGTGTACCAGCGACGCGTCGATTCGCGTCCCCATGGATTTAAGCGGCGACGGCGGCGTAGTGAAGAAAATCCTCCGCGCCGCTAAACCCGACGCGTTGCAGCCGTCCGATGCGTACCCGATTGCAGATGGTGCGATATCAGCTGCTCGCCGGGTAACCCTTCATTATTTATTTATTTCAATTTAGGTTAGATTACAGGCATTTCATTTGAGGGAAGTGCCTGCGCGAGGGGTGACGTGGTGTGTTCCTATCCGGAAATGAGTGTACTATGTCATATTAGCCAAGTTATCCTGCCTGCTACATGCTTCTCCTCTGTTCCCAACCCAACTCATTCCCCTCCACGCCCTCATTCCCTATAACGCCTCAGCTACCCACTGGGTCAAATGAGGGTGTTATTTGGCGCAGCGGAATGCCCTTAACACAGCCCACAGGCGTTACATTCCCAGCCCAACCCTCCCCTCGGCCTCTTCCTCCTCCATCTCCCTCCCTTCCGTACCCACTGCACCATGAGGGGAGACTAACCACGGGCGAGGTGTTGGAGCTCAAGGGAGGACAATTCTGTGTTCACCAACCCAACCCAATTCCCATCCACGCCCTCATTACCAGCCCAACCATCCTCCCTGCCTCTTCCTCCTCCTCCCCCTCCCCCCACCTTTCCATCCAGTGCCCATCCACGCCCTCATTCCCAGCCCAACCATCCTCTCTGCCTCTTCCCCCTCCCCCTCCCTCCCCCCCACCTGTCTCCAGTGCACTACGAGGGGAGACTAACCACGGGGGAGGTGTTTGACAGCTCGAGGGAGGACAATGCAGTGTTCACCGCATGACCGCACTCACACACCACATTCTCTCTCCCCCATCCCTTCTCCCCCTCCCCCTCCAACCCCTCCTCTCCCCCCTTCTCTCAATGTCCAGTGCACTACGAGGGGCGGCTGACCACCGGGGAGGTGTTTGACAGCTCGCAAGAGGACAATGCAGTGTTCACTGCACGGCCGCACTCACACTCACACACCACATCCTTCCCCCCCCCCTCCAGTGCATTACGAGGGGCGGTTGACCACGGGCGAGGTGTTTGACAGCTCGCGGGAGGACAATGCAGTGTTCACGTTTGAAGTGGGCAAGGGGAAGGTGATACGCGCGTGGGACATCGGCATCAAGAGCATGAAGGTGCGTGGCTGGTTCCCTAGTAGTGTCCCTATATTGGAGCTCGAGGGAGGGCAATGCCGTGTTCACGTTTGAAGTGGGCAAGGGGAAGGTGATTCGCGCATGGGACATCGGTATCAAGAGCATGAAGGTGAGAATCTGGTCGTTTGATAGGTAAGAAGAGTGGGAGTGGATTTAGCTAGTGCACGGGATTATGGGCATCAAGAACGGCTTTTTCTCTTCTGTTATTACGCTGACGCCAAGCACGAATTTCTTTGAAGGGTAACCACCCCATCTGTGAAATTATATTAAGTGGTTGATATCAATGTCCCATGTCCCAGTGGTTCCCATTGCTATCATGCGGAGCACGATACTGTTTTGGGTGCGAGCCTGTTTGTTCAATCCCTCGCCCCTCATCTCTCCCTCGCCCCTCATCTCTCCCTTGCCCCTCATCTCTCCCTCGCCCCTCATCTCTCCCTTGCCCCTCATCTCTCCCTTGCCCCTCATCTCTCCCTCGCCCCTCATCTCTCCCTTGCCCCTCATCTCTCCCTTGCCCCTCATCTCTCCCTTGCCCCTTCTCATTCACCTGACGTAATTACATGTGCTGACGTCAGGTGGGTGAGCTGGCAGAGCTGACGTGTCAATCAGACTATGCATATGGAGATGCCGGTTCTCCTCCCGAAATTCCTCCAGGGTATGTCCGTACATGCCCGTGTCGTGCATGTCCATACATGCCCGTACATGCGCATACATGCCCATACATGCCCATACATTCCCCTTCATTCCCGTACATGCCCATACATGCCTGTGCGTCCATGCGTTCGTGTATTTATCCCAGAGTATGTCTGTCCGCGAATGCTCATGTATGCACTCATACATCCATGCATCTATGTATCCATGCACTCATACATCCATGCATTTATGTATCCATGCACTCATACATCCATGCATCCATGTATCCATGCACTCATACATCCATGCATCTATGTATCCATGCACTCATACATCCATGCATCCATCTATCCATGCACTCATACATCCATGCATCTATGTATCCATGCACTCATACATCCATGCATCTATGTATCCATGCACTCATACATCCATGCATCCATGTATCCATGCACTCATACATCCATGCATCCATCCCAGGGTATGCCCATCCCATGCATGCATGCGTGGGCGTTCCCATTCCCTCGTGTGCCTGGACAACAGCATGCATGCATGCTCTAAGCCCAATCCCAAACACTGATCGGCTTCTTTTCTCTCCTCCCTCCATCTCCTACCATTCCCTTTCCCCCACCCCTTTAACCCCTCTCCTGCTGCTACCAACTTCGCCCTGATTTCCTCCTGTGAAGTTACCTTCAGAAAGTACCTCACCTTTCCCTCCTTCCCCGTTTCTCATTGGTCCACGTGGCAGCGCCACATTGGTGTTTGAAGTGGAGCTCATGGCAGTTCGACCCCCCAGAGGCTCTGTCTCCTCCGCTGCTGCTGAGAAGGGCCGACTAGAGTGAGTGGGAGGAGGAGAGGGATGGGGGAGAGAGTGAGTGCGAAAGTAGTGAGGGAAGAGAGTGGCCAGCTCATGGCTCATGGCTCATGCCTCATGGCTCATGGCTCATGGCTCATGGCTCATGGCTGTTCGCCCCCCCAGAGGCTCCGTCTCCACCGCTGCTGCTGAGAAGAGCTGACTGGAGTGAGTGCGAGTAGACTGCATGAGTGAGAGGAGGCGAATGGGTGAGGAGTGAGTGAGAAGAGGAGAATGTGAGTGTTAGGAGGAGAGCGAGTGAGAAAGGATGAGAATGAGAAGAGAGTGAGAAAGGAGGCACATACAGGCAAGAAGGTTGAGCCTGTTCTTATGCAGAACAGCTCTCAGTGCGCCCACGCAGTCAGTACATACTTCACATTCCTTCCCACACCTTCACATTCCTTCCCACACCTTCACATTCCTTCCCACACCTTCACATTCCTTCCCACACTTTCACATTCCTTCCCACAACCTCCCATTCCTTAGCATCCCACCCCATTTCCTTACATCCTCTTGCCCGGAATCCCTTTCCCCCTTCCCCTACTTGTGGCAGTGAGTTGAGAGCAGAGAGAGAGGCAGCAGCAGCGCGGAGGGAGGAGGAGAAGAAGAAGAGGGAGGATGCGAAAGCTGCTGCAGCCGCTAGGGCAGCTCAACTTAGTGCCAAGGGAACTGGAAAAGGAGGGGGAAAGGGAGGCAAGGGGAAGAAGAAATAACACTCGCCTGTTCAGTTGGTGCAACGATTTGGAATATTTGAAAGCTTTGAATTGTTTGAAAGATGTTGATGATTGGTGGCGGCCCGCCACTGGCGGGTGATGGCCTAGTGGGTCCTTGGCTGTGCTGTGCTGAGACCATCATGGCGGCTCAGCAAGGCGCCAAGGGAAGTGGAAAAGGAGGGGGAAGGGGAGGCAAGGAGAAGAAGAAATAACACCTGCTTGCTCCGTTGAGTCAACGATTCGAAGGGATTTGTTGTGTTGTGACGGGTTGATGCCCTAGTGTGGGGCGCTGGCTGTGCCTTTTGAGTCGACTCAGGAGTTGCCTTCTGATCTGCTGTTGTCCAAGTTAGCACTGTCCGAGAGGCAGAGAGACGCCTGCCCATGGTGCATGCATAGCATACCGTACCCCTCCCCCCCCCCCCTCTCCCCCCTTCACTTTCACTCATGGCAGTGTAGCCTGTTCTTCGAGAGCATATCCCCCCCCCCCGCACTCCTGGCAGAGGAGCTTGGTCCCTGAGCATACCCCCCATGCCCAGCCCCCACCGCACGATCCTGGAGTTAGGTACGCAAGAATTTGCATTGCAAAGGAGAGGCTATGGCTGTGGTGATCCACGCATGTACGGTAGTTTAGTTTCTTGAGATTAGTTTAAGGCGCCACAAGATATTGGTATCTTGAGGCGACTCGAGAAAGAAGGTACCGTTACCGTACTCTAGGCAAGAAGTTGCAAGGGAGAGCTGCAGCAAGTTTCAGGCAGTGATCAAGGCATGTACCAGTTGTGTGATACGGTACATGCTGTATCTTAGCATTTGAACAAGTTCCAAAACAAGGCGGTTTATCTGACCAGCCAGGGGGGCTCCTGCTCGCTCCAAAAGGAATACAGTTTCTGTAACCAGGCAGCAAGTTTGTTCAGTCTCACCAACAAGTACGCACCAATTCTACGGTAATTTCTCCCATAATAATAAATGCAGCATTGGCATGTGAATTGTGATGTCACCAACAGATTCCCACATCCGCACTCAAGGCAAGCGCACACCCATATGCATCTCCACTCTTCCACAACCACACCACCGCATGAAACTCCAGCAACGCGCTACCCAGATGCTTCTATTCTATGTCCTCTGGAAGCTAAAAACCTGGCCATAGAGCGCGCGCTCGTTACCTGCACGCCCTATGACTGCAAACGAACTCGACACAGCGAGATACACAGCCAGGCGTGCATCTAACTCTGTGTTCTGAAGCGTCTCGCTCTCAAACTTCCAGCTGTAGCGCCCGCGCTGGCCGCCAGCGGCACTGGTGATGTTCACAAACGCGAGATCTGCCATGGGGCGTGAATCCGCTGGAGTCTCTGTGCATTTACGTACGTAACCGTAGACGGGCTTATCTCCTCCTTTGAGGTTTTGCAGAAGGAACTTGGTGGTGGTGGTGTAGGACGATGCAGAGTACCTGTCAACATGGGGTGGGGGGGAGTGCGTGGGGGGTGGGTGGGGGGGGGGGGTGCAAGCAGATCAAGTTGAGAATTCTCAATATCAGCCTTCAATGAACAAGATCACGACCTTGGTTGTCGTGGTTTAGGAGATGCAGAGTACCTATCAAGTGGTTGTGACTTCAACAGTGATTTTCCGAGCCGCGAGTAGAACAAGTGAAGGAGGGGCAAGTGAAGGAGGGGGCAAGTGAAGGAGGGGGCAAGTGAAGGAGGGGGCAGGAGCGTACTTCACCGCTGCGATAACGATTTTCCCCGAAGCTCCTTTGTCACCGACGACTTTCCCATTGCACTTGGTGGGACGCAGCTTGGCCACGAGTTTGACTGGAAACGGGAGCGGGAAAACGAAAAAAGTTGGTAAAAGCCTGATGAGCAAAAAAGAAAAAGCAACCGACTGGAAAGCCTGGGAAGTGAATGATATGATGCTGCTTGGCTGTGTGTCGGCCAATATAACAGAAACGCGACGAAAAAAAAAAAAGCTGGTAGTAGATCAAAAGAGTGGGAAGCTCGAGAGTATAAATGACGTAGCGTGACACACAGCAGCTGCAGCACACAGCGACACACACTTTGACGGCTCTACACTTACGGATCCACTGTCCCTTCGGACCCAGAGCCTTGGCCTGAGGGGCATTAGCCATAAAAGCGGTAGAAGCAACAGAAGCAGTAGAAGCGGTAGAAGCGGCCGCTGCGGCGGCAGACGCGGCAGAAGCGGCAGAAGCAGCATGAGAGCCGCCCGGCACGGGATGAGGGACGAACGGCCGCCGAAGCAGTGATGTGGCCGACGCGCCGTAGGCAGTGCAGACCGCCGCACCTGCAGGCAGACAGACAGGCAGACAGACAGGCGGCGACAGGGAAGCACGCAGGCACGCAAGCAGGGCACGCAGGGCACGCAGGGCACGCAGGGCACGCAGGCACGCAACACGATCATCATCATGTTCGTTGACCTGACGGGATCATCCGCTCAGCACTGGCAGGCACGCAGCACTGAACTGACCTGACGGGATCATCGGCTCGAACATTCAACAGCAATCAGCGACAGTCGCATGTTGGATGCGAAACTAAACGCCAACTTATTATTAGTAGGGTTAAATTAGAAGTACTTACAGAGCAGCACGAAACTAAGCTAGCCCTTGGTACGAGTACGGCGGCTAAATGAGAAGCACTCACAGAGCAGCAGGCGGCAGAGGAGAGATGCGCGGAGCTCCATGCTGCTGATCTCGCGGATTAACCCCCGAGAATTTTTGTCAACTACTGCTACTTAGTACTAACAAGGTTTCTGGTTGAACCACCGAAATTGAGTGAAACTCTCTGGCACATTCAGTTGCGGAATACTGCTAGCTCTAGAAGAGCCAGATTATGATGTGACTCACCCTCTCAGAGGCCCGGTGTTATGTAGGCCCGGTGAGACTTCCAGTGGTGTCCAAAGTTCCATGGGTCGTCCTAACTACATCTGAAGCTTGGTCACGGTCCCAACCGTGACATGATAGCCGTCTCGTCTCCCTACTACGACCAAATGTAACAGATGGTGGTTTTCAAAGATCAAGCCGTCTCCCCTACGACCAACTGTAGCGGCACATCGGAAGATCAGTTAGTACTTAACCACTCGGCGGCGCCGAGTGACCCGTAACAGATGGTGGTCCGAAGAAAGCCGTAGCACAAGAACCAGAGACATAAGGTCACCCAAGCGCGCGCGCGCCAAAGAACTGTTACGTGCTAAAGCCAACTGGGTTTACAGTTATTAACGAAAGAACAGTTACTTTCGATTTGTTGCGAAAGACAAACTACTACATGCTGCTACATATGATGTAGTAATCTCGCGGGTAAAGCCGAAGCCGACGAATCGTTCGTCGGACTATACTACTACTACTAGCAGGTTTTCGGCAGAACCTCTCAATCGGATTTGGAGTTGCGGGAGTAGTAGTAGCTCTCGCGAAGAGCCAAATTATGTGACTCACACTCTCAGATGCCCGGTGCTATGTAGGCCACACACTGCCGCATGGCAGACGAGCGGCGCGGCCCGCCGTCGCACGGCTCCAGACTTGTGAGTCCGAGTCCGCCATCCGGCCCAAAATGGCCCCCGGTGAACGTGAGTCATGCGCTGGTTACTACTAGGTCGGGACATCGCTTCGCTACGAGGCGGGTTGTAGCACATCGGAGTGCCGGTGACGCGTAGGTTGCCACTATAACCACTCGGCGAGTGACAAGTGACAGTAGGGTAATCTCTGAAGATAAGCCTAGTAGCACAAGAACCTAAGCACGCCTCTAAGGCCCTGCTCGATAGGCAGCCTAACCCTTGCTGGGCTAGGGTTAGGCTAGTGCTTGGGGGGTTTTCGGAGCACCTTCCCCTGGGCTAACCCTACCCCGACCAAAAGGGAAGCTGCGCCTCCCGATATCGGAAGGAGGTGGTCGTCAGGGCGCTGCTGGGTTCCTCCTTCCACCATCTTGGGCTAGGGCAGGATTCAAAAGTTTCGAACGCATGCCATGGGTACCAGGGTCAATCGAGTGGAAAAAAAAATAACCAACAAAGTCCAGACGCGTCAAGGGTTGCTGAGGACGCGTCAAGATTTTTAGGGCGGTGATGGAAGTTTAGAGCACGTGTAGGGGTGGAAAACATTTGCGGGGGTAACATTTGCGTATCCCCTCCCTGGGCAAGCCCTAGCCCATCTCTTGGCCAACCTCCAGATTGGGGAGGCGAGGGTTGGGCTGGAGGTGGGCTCATCGCCTGCCAGTTAGCGAAGAGAGTTGGATCTTTCGGAGGAGACTAACACTTCTCGTAAAAGGCACGTTCGACAGACAGTGAAGTGTTAGTCTGGTTCGGGAGGGTTTGCCATGTTCGGCACCCATATCAGGGCTGACCACAAAAAAATACCCAAAATCGAAAGAGCCCCAATAGTTCCGCGGAAGGGCTTGGCTGCCTGTCGAGCAGGGCCTAAGTCAGTGCGGTGCTCATGCCAACTAGGGTTTCTAGTTACTTCGAGTGCTGATGGGTCCAAAAGCGCGGTCTCAAGTTCCCCCACCATCAAAGTTCCCCCACCAGCCAGGGGTCTCGTTATCAGACCAATTTGGTCTGATGGTCTGCGTTTCAGACTTAATTTTCTTATTTCAGATTATCTGTAAGACTATACTTTTGTTTTCAGATGATCAGTAAGGGTACGTTCTTAGCCTGTGTCAGGCAGGCTGACATGAAGCTGTGAAGGGTTTGGATTTGATTGATAATGACGTGGAACGATCGGAGCTGTCGATAGCCTTGTGTCAGGAAACTTGACACAGGCTAAGAACGTACCCTAAGACAAATGATTTTACTTCAGATACATTTTCAGATCGCATACTTTTCTTCATCTGAGACTCCAGATAACGAGTACGATTCCGTCTGAAACCGACATTTCTGCCCACTTGTCCATAGGGCCACTAGTTATGGTATCTGCCAGCCTGTATAGGTGCATGCGTAGTGAATGCTTCTGTCCCGTAGCATCCGCGCTGGAGGAAACAGCACCGCTGGCAGCAGTTAACTATGTGCAATGCTGCCAGCACTTTGTCGCTGCGTGGGTGTCGGCGCCGATGCCAGCCACACCCAGGCACCGACACTGTCCTTTTGTGCAATGGGTGTCAGAAATGAGAAGTGTGTGAACTAGAAACAAATGGGAGTACAAGTACCAAACCCTAGAGTAGTGTACCCCCTAGAGGCTAACCCACTGTAGCCTACACAGCTATAACATATATAATGTTTGACACACCCCCATAGGCTAAGTGGGGGAGAGCAAGGGGTCACAAGACCAGTCAAAGCAAAGCAAAGCAAAACAAGCTCAGGGTGGATCTCAAGGATACCACACAAATTCCGAGCACAAGCAAGCGGTCACAAGACCAGTTCACATGCAGTTTGATAATATAACAAGAGGTACAGTGATCACAACCTAGCAAGTGTAAGCATGCAGGTATATATATAGAGATCACAGTACAAGCAGAGTCAAGAAGTGAGCAAGTGAGGGACAGTAGGCACAAGGCCTAGAACAGTATAGAAACGCTGATGATCACAAGGCTGAAGCGCCTTGGTGAACACATCAGCAGTGTTGGCCCAAGTGGCCACGTACGCAAGACGAAGCTGACCACGCTGCTGCAGCTCTCGAGCAAGGAAGTAGCGCAGAGCGATGTGCTTCGTTCTGTGCTCCAGTCTGTGCTCCTGACACAAGGCAATGGCGGCCTTGTTGTCGACGTACAGCACTGGAGGAGAACGAGGCCGCTCTCCCAGGTCGGTCAGCAAGTAGGTGAGCCAGCGTAACTCCTGTGCAGCCATGGCTGTGGCGTAGATCTCAGCCTCACAACTGGAGCTGAGAACTGAAGACGAGCGTGTAGAACGCCAAGAAACTAAACCAGAGCCAAGGCTGAAGGTGTAACCCTGAGATGACCGCTGCGTAGCCTGGTCGTCAGCCCAAGAAGCGTCTGAGTGCCCAGTGAGGACAACGTCGCTCCGTCCTCCAAGCACAAGCCCCATGCCCGACGTACTGCACAAGTAGCGCAACACCCTCTTAGCGGCATCCATGTGCTCCTTCCGGTGACGGCCAGGAGCGACATAGCGTGCTAGGATGCTAAGAGGGTATGCAAGGTCAGGTCGAGTGCAGGTCATCAGGTACATGAGGCAGCCCACAAGCTTTGGATACGGGCCACTCGGCTCTACGGACTCATCCGAAGGCAGAGCTGAGAGCGAGTGACCGGTAGGCAGAGGAGTGGGCTGAGGCGAGGAGTACGTGAAGCGGAAGCGCTGAAGGACCTGCTGCACCATGTGTGACTGAGTCAAGGTGATGGTGCGCTGTGCTCTGTCCCGGGTGATCCGCAAGCCAAGATAGCTTGTCAGCTCACCCAGGTCTGTGCACGTGTGTCTCTTCTGCAGCTCCGACTTCACGTGGGCGAGTGCCTCAGTGTCAGCAGTAGCAAAGACCAAGTCGTCTACGTACACGAGAACGTAGAACGGCGACAGAGTGGTGTTGGTGCGTAGAAACAGCGACGGGTCAGCAGTAGAAGGAGCAAACCCAAGAGCAGCAAGAGTAGTCCTCAGTGTGTCGTGCCACTCACGGGGTGCCTGGCGGAGACCGTAGACTGGCCGCCGGAGGCTCCACTGGGTACCAGCAGGGAACGGCCCAGTGAAGCCAGGTGGGCGGCGCAGCCAGATCTCCTCGTGCAGGCTGCCCTGTAGGAAAGCAGTGCTGAAGTCAAGAGAGTGGAGCTCGTAGTCACGCTGAGCGGCGACGTGCAGCAGAACCCGAAGAGTGGTCATCTTCGGGGTCGGGGAGAAGGTCTGGAAGAAGTCAACTCCCTCTCGCTGACTGAAGCCTCGTGCAACGTAACGCGCCTTGAAGACAGGCGGAGAACCCGACGGCTGCTTCACCCTGAAAATCCACATGCCACTGACGATGTTCGCCCCAGGTGGGGGAACCTCGTCGACGTAAGTGCCTGTGGACTTCCAGGAAGACATCTCTGCGTCCATGGCTGTCTGCCACTGAGAGGAGTAGGGATCCTCTATCGCCTCTGCGTAAGAGCGCGGGGTCGGGATGTCTGGTGCATCCGGGTCTCCCTCAGGGGCAATCAGCATGGACACGAGATGAGGTAAAGCAGCGGCAAAGCACTCAAACTCCTCCTGTCTGTCCTCAAGGACGTCCGTGCCAAGAGCACACTCACCCCCGACGGACGGAGGACAGACAGACTCAGACTCAGCAACAAGGCTAGCGGCGTAGTCTAGACGACAGGCGGCAGCAAAGTCAACAAGCTCAGCAACTAGAGCAGACGCAGCAGTGGACTCAAAGGAAGGGTCAGTGACAACAGGACTGGCAGCACGAGCACGGTCTGACGGCGGGTCAGCAACGTCAGGAAGAGAGGACGCAGGAGGAGACGGCAGAGGGACACGCTGAGGAGCAGTGGAAGGACGCAGAGTCATATAGTGTGTGCCAAGTACAGGAGGAGGACGCTGACGCGGAGCACGACGACCAGTGCGGACAGCGCGGACAGGCGAATCTGG